TCACATCCTGTGGGAAAAATAAATCTATGTACACATATGCATCTCATCATATTTTTATTTCCATCTTCTTCTCTCTCATGTATTTGATAAAGCTAGAAAAAAACCTCAACCACACACACACAGTGGCACTCCAAAACAACTGCACTATCTCCTAGGTGTTTCAAACAACATCTTTGTGTTTGAACAGGGAAGCAGAAGAATATAAGAGCACGGGGACTTAGTCAGGCATCTCATGCACCAAATTCCTTGAAAACCAGGGAGCCACATTCACCCCTCAGCACTATAGATGGGCACCAGATTTTTCTATGTGCAATGAAAGAAGCCAGCAAAGAAAGCAAAAGCTATTTTTAAAACCCAGTGGGCACCACAAACGGGCATCCTGCTGCTAGTACCTCCATCAACAGGGAACAAAACCAAATATGCTGCACACTGAGCAAACACTTTGGATACACAAGAAGGGCACGCTGAAGAGAAGGTTTCACCAGCAAGGATTAAGCTCTTTGCCTGTTGTTTGCAGAGAAGAACATCACGTGCTCGAGGCCTCCTCACACCGATACCCACAGCTGCACTCAGCAAGCGCAAGTAGAGGGGGAAGCATTGAGGGCCCTAAAAGGCAGGTACTACACTTGCAAAAAGCTGAGAACAGTCTATTCCAAAGTTGAGGCATCAGAGCACTTTTGCCATTTATTTGCTAATTAGAAGCTGGGCAAGAAAGCCGAGTTGTATTCCTGTCTCTTCAATTTCACTCTAGGACTCTAAGTGCACTGTTGACTCAACATGAACAATTAATATTACAGGAATTGAAACAAATATGCACGAGGAAGTATGGAAAAGCTGGTTACAAGTGAAGGCCTTGTTCAATTCCACGGTGAAATCCAAGTAACAACATATTGGTAACGGAAATTCTGTTCCAAATAATGTATTATGGATTAGGCTGATTCAGTCCATGTCTCCAACAAGAGCACAACATACAGGACATGATAAAGAACAAGACTAAATGGAGAAAATTTCCACATACAAGCTGTTTGCACAGCGTATTGCTGAGAATCACTGATTGGAAACAACATGATGCTTCCCTGTTCCATAAACTCAGCTCCATTCACACTCGGCATTTCAAAATAATAACGTTTTATACTCAGAATAACTGAATTCCGTTATTTTTTTCTGAGGAATTAAAATCTTAAGTTCCATTTTTTTGATGATTTAACTTCACTAGGCAGGAGCTTTATTTCAAAATCAGGACGACAATTATTTCAATACCTTGGCGTCCAAAAGACACTCACTGTATTTTACATTTTTAAGCTCATCCTGTCTTCAGAAGCTCAAGTTTTCTACACCTTTCCACTTTACCCAACTTCTGCACACCCTAGAACTGCAAGGCAAAATAACTCCCATGCTTTCTGACCTCTTCTCAAGCTACTGATCCTCTTGCAGATGGGCAATCTTGTATTTTTTTTCACTCTCCGAAATTAACACTGAACACCCACTGCATGCCAACGCTTAATGTTGGTACCTTGTAACTGATGATACTTGGAGACAAAAACATAAACAAGCCAAAAGGGATGCCCCAGGATCCATCACTCACTGAGCTGAAGGCGATATACTATCTTAAGGAATGGAAAACTACCGCTACAGGATAATAAATCATTCTTCCAATTCCTCCTTATCTCCATACCCTCAAGACAGTTTGTGTCAAGATCCAACATGAAACGTATGATCAGCTACCCATAAAACCTGTACAACACCACAGCGTTTAATCAAATGACAAGAGGGTGTAAGCAGTGTCAGAGAGTAAATATAAGGAAGTCCAAGCAAGAAGAACCTGTATGATGAAAGATTTTAAAAATCATTAAGCAGAATATGAGAGAAAGTACCCATTCCTTCTTTTCATTTATTTATATAAATCAGTCCTTGCTTTCTCAGTGCAATTATTCTCACTACACTCACTCCTTGACAGACTGCAACATTTTAACAGGCAAATACGGTTCTTCATCTGAAGTACTGCGAAAAGGTATAGAACACTGAAGTACCAAAGAAAGCCCATCTTCTTCATTGTGATTTACAAACCAGCAAATTCAAAACCTGTCAGTACTTGTGATACAGCCACTAACGAGCTGAACTGCACGATGTCTGGGCTTGCCAAAAGGAAACTGGGGATCCTTTCATTTCCCTCAGCTGCGCACCTTCTGTGCTATCTAACTTCAATAATCCACCATCCAGTTTACTGTCTGACTTCAATTAGAGATATCACTCTGAGGGCAGCACTTGAGTGATAAAAATAAAAAGCCAAGAAGAGAAGAATTTGATTTCTTCCATCAGTGCCACAGTACAAGTGTAGTGTATCTGTGCACAACTGGAACAGTTTGAGCTATTACTGAGACAGCGTAAACCGCAGAAAGCACAAGCAAAGTTTCAGTAATATAAAGCACCTTTAACATTGACCTCTCCTTACTTCTTCATGAGCATATTTCTTCCTTTCATATTCCCCCATCTTTCAGCTTAATTTACTGCAGGCTTTAAGAGGCATATTTTGATGGCAGTATAGTTGATGAAAAATAACACAACGCACATCTTCTTGTAAAGAAATCCAGTAACTAATATACAAACTGTCAAAGAAGCTTTATGGGTGTGATGATATAACAAAGAAAAAGATACCACAGCAGGTAACACCTCCTGCTGTTCTATTTCAGCTTTACAGCAAGAAAAGGCCACCATGCGATGAAAGAGAAGCCAGGGGACATAACCTTCTCAGAAACCTGCAGCAATGGTGGAAGCAAGATAAGAAAAAGCCACCAAGAAAACAGATTCATCTAGAGCACACTTTCCTTTTGGTAACTGCTGCATGTGCATGGAGTACAGGGACTATGAAACCTACTGAATCACTCAGTAATGGCTGCATTCTTGTTGAGCACAGAAGATGCCTGTAGAGACTCAGGAAGATTCACCCTCACCTTATTTTTCAAAGTAACAGGAGAGACCACAAAGAATCATCCTCTTCTTCAAAATCTTATCTAGGTCAGCCATCATGTCAGACAAGTGATGTGACACCAAGACCATCTGGTAAACTGAGGCCAAGCAGCACTCGGAGGGCTTCATACTACACTTCCATGGTTTGGGAAAGGAGACTCACATGGGGAATGAAATCCCAAATTCAATATGCACATCTCTTGTGCTTTCTGGCTAGACCTCTGCAGCATTTTCAAAGTGGGGGCATGCCCCACATTTGGGCACATGCTGCCTTACAGATCCTTTTCCAACTCTGGAGCAAAGATGAGCACAGTGAACAATCAATTCGACTGTAATTGGTGACTTTCATTCATTCCTCAGGACAGCATGAACACTGTTACTGCATCTAACAACAGCCCTGCTTCATAGAGGCAGGGAGGCCAAGAGGTAAAAGAAGAGACAAATCTGCACCTGCAGAGCAGCAGGTGGAGAAGAAATGAAGGCTCAGAAATGGTATGGACAGTGAAGCAAGAAGAAGGAATTAAGAAGGATACCAAAACTGGAGCCACAATAAGCGACAGGATGGCTTATAAAATGCCAAACTCATCAGCAACAGTATATATCAACTACAGACCACAACCAGACAGTGGCAGGAAAGACAAGAAAGACTTAACACACAGCTGCAAATGCTCCTAAATTCTGAACCCCATATTTATTTTTAAATGCTCCCACATTGGGAGCCAGCCATGGAGTGGGGCACTCTCTTTCCATGGGTAGATTTCTGAAACTGTGCTAGTCTGACAATCTACCTGCCAGACTTCTTTCAGTTTGATGAAGCACCACACCGTGCTGTTTAAATCATCCATAGCTAACGGAAGGTTACAGATATGGAGAGCCTCGCGAAACCCAAACCGAAACAACTGCAGCTGAAACTATGCCTTGTACTTTAATCCCGTAGAGAAAGGAAAGTCTCTGAACCCCGGTCTGAGTGTAGTCACAACCACAGCTGTGCCATTACATTAAGGCTGACACACAGTACCGCCCTCTCTTCTAAAATTCACATTACTACGATATGTAAAAGCTACAAATGAGTAAGCCATGAGGCAAGGTACCCTAAAAATAAAGAGGGAATAGCTTTCCTTTTCCCTGCCCTGCCCTCAGCATTCAGGTTAGCAATTCTTAGTGCTTACATTCTGTGATAAAGCTAAAGGACAAAGTGGATTCCCTCTCATTAATTTTATACAGAATGCCTGCCCAATTACCACCATGTCAATACGCTGTAAATTACTAGGAGTACAGAAAAGCATCACCATGAAGGAACTGTAACAACTTGCATGCAATTACCACAGTACCAAGCATTATTTGTATTTGCCAGCTAGCCATTTCAGAAGGCAGGCTACACCCCTTATGAACAAATATGCACCTCATTTTTTTCCAAAACTCTTCCAAATGTTTAACGTCACTCTGCCTGGCTTGGACAACAAGGAGCAGAGAAAACCAAAGTCTATCTTAAAACAATCTATTAACACCTCACAGCAACAGCCCCCTCTCCCCACAGCATATCATAAAACGTACCACAGCACTTGCCCTGCAACTAAAGAACAGTAGTATCCTCTCTGACCTTACTAAAAAAAATTCTCAGAAAACAACAAACTTTTGTCAGGCCCTTCCAAATTAATTTAAGAGGGGATGCCCCATCCACCACTTAATGGTAACCTGATGCTTTTACAACCAGTAGCAAGAAGTAGCACACATTAGGGCATGACAAAGACACAGCTATAGGCTTCCACAGCAAATCCTCAGCAGCAGAATGGATTTAAATATCCTGGGAGGGTGAGTCAGGAGCTACAGATCCAAGTATAAAACTCTCTCCAAATCCAGACGGTGAGATTACGTTTTGGATGGAGAGAGCCAGTGCTTTGAATTCTCTCTCTCCTGTCACCCCCCGCCCCTGCCATATGCTGCTACTTCTTTTCTTTACTATCAGAAGTGGCTAAGGTTTCTCTTCCCACCCCCCAACTGCTTCATTCTCTCCCTGGCAGGCAGTCAACTCCTCAGGCTGTGTGCGTTAACACCCTGCAGCCCATAAAGTACTCACTCTGAGCTCTCGCTGCTGCTGCCAGTCGCAGAGCTGCCGTGCTGGTCACCCTGGCCCAAAACCTGGACCCCTAAAGACCTGACGGCCCGCATCAGAATTGCCTCCATCGCTTCAACCGAGAGCTTCTCCAGGACAATCACCCGGCATCGGCTCAGAAGAGCAGCGTTGACTTGGAAGGAAGGGTTTTCTGTGGTCGCTCCTATCAGGGTCACCGTCCCACACTCGACGTGAGGAAGGAAAGTGTCCTGAGGATGGGAGGGAAGCAGAAAAAGCTGATTGCGATCAATGACAACCTGAAACATTCCATGTGAGTAGGCTATGTTTTTCATGTCTTGTGAGTCTTTGGGTTCCCTGTTGATATGACAAATAACCTCACTGACAAGGCAGCTCATCTGCTCAGCTATCTGAATGATTTAATTTCACGCACACAGCACGTTATGGGCTGTTCACCTTCGTAACTTGTGCTTGCACTGAGAATGACCCTACCAGCTGAAAAGAAACAGTGTCAAAAATCTGCATTTTTTTTGTTTATTTATGTGACTTTGCTTTGGCAAATGTAAGATATCACAAAACTGCCTTATCAAATATAACAAATAGTGAGGCTACTTCTAAATACTCTTTGAACCAATCTTTAGGGCTACAGTTCTCTACATAATTCTATAGGATGGCCCAGAAAACTATAGGAAGATTGGAGTATGGTTTGATATAGAAACTGCAACCTGTAGTACAGAATTCAAGCTTTCTATGGTATGACTGTGGTCTCTTTTCTCACAGAAAAGAGGGGACAACATTAAATCAACCAAACACCCTAGGCACATCCACATCCCAGACCTTTTTAAAGCTAATGCAGAATGCTACCCCTGTGGAGCAGGCTGAAATGAAGATATGTATGGCAAACACTACTAAAACGACTTTGCAGAAATAGAAGTCACCTATAAGTACAGCTCAGACTTTTATTTAAATCTTTGAATCACAATAATTAAACACAGATGAGAAGTTAATTATGAAATTTAGTCTTTATGTTTGTCCCTAATTCATCTACTAAAAACATTAACATTAAAATCAAAAGCCCAAAGTAAGCTACCATCTTAAGGAAAAGTGGGAAATTTTACAGAAGTGCTGACAGAGGCTTTTTCCAAAAAGCAGTGTAGTACAATACCTGCTGAGATTTATTGAAACGATGGATCTCATCAATAAAGAGGATGGTTTTTCTCTTGAAGAGTCTTTTTTCATTCTGGGCTTGGCTGATGACATCTCGAACATCATTTGTCTTGGCACTTGTGGCCGATAGTGTCACAAACCTCGTGCCATTCTTTTTGCTGCTATTGGCTATGATATGTGCCAGTGTAGTCTGAAACAGCAACAGGAGAAAGCTTTGTAAAAATCGTTTTGGACACAGGCAGTACTCATTTGAGGGAAATATGCAAAGAAAAAAGCTATATGGTCTGGACAAAGGGACAGTGTTGACAGTTTATAGAGTAAGGTATTTCAGTTCATGCTATTCTAGCACACAGAAGATTTAAAAACTTCCTGCTAGAGGTAGCTGCCAATTCCACTGCTGCATTTCTAATGCCTGCACTTTTACGTACCAGACCTACTCAGTTGCAATACTGAAAAGGCCAGCAATGACAGCTGTCTCCTTTACCACGGAAGAAGAACTCTTCGCCAAATACACTTCTGTCACAGAAGACCGGCTGACTGCAATTTGCTGTGCAGTTATTTTGTACAGTATGTTAATGGATAAAGAGCTGGACTACCCCGAGACACCTGCAGGAGTTTACAGTGCAACTACATTTAAGAAACAGAAAGATAAATTAAGGCCTTTTCTATTTCCACTGCACGTAGAAATGAAATTAATCAGAAAGCAGTTCTCTACAACAGCATGAGAATGTTAGTACTAAAAATTATAGGTATACTTAAGAAAAGGTAACTCTAAATCTAAATAGTCAACAGTAATCAAATGCTGTCCCAGGGAAGTAAAAGGCAGCTGGTTCAACAAACTGTTGGCTGGTTTTAGTGAGCAGCTATGTTGTTTTTCTTTCCTTATAGACAACTCCTTCAAATAAAAATTTATTTATAGGGAATTCACTGAGCCTACCAAAGCACAGAAGCAACCGCTGATACTACCTCCCAGGAGGATTTACCACACCTGAACACATCACAGGCAAAATTTTCAAGACTTCCCTTCTCAACCCTTAGCAAAGGCAGGTGCATCTGCATGTCCCAAGCAGAGCGTATCTCTACTTGAAAGTACCGTTAGAGAAAAACAGATGATTCTTCCACTGAGCTCACTCTTCTATTGAAGGAGCCCAAGGAGTCTGAATACAGGAGGGCCTCAGCAGATGAGGAGTGGGACAGGTGTTGACAAAACCACTTCAGAAGATATTCCAAGTACTGAGGTTAAAGCAGCAGGTGCTGCCAACCTGATCCTCTTGCAGGGAGGCCGCAGGAGCAACCACCTACCACATGGCTACCAGTGGCGCTGGCAGGACCTCATTCACTGCCCTAACACCACTGCTGAGTCTTTTTAATGGATCTCCTTGTCCCTGAAATGGCAACCAGCCCAAGGTGGGAAAGGGGAGGCTAAGGGGGAGGATGTATCACTATTTATTCTTGCTTTAGTTTTAGTAAGGGCTTCCTGAATCTCTTCAGAAGAGGTGTCATTTCACATCCTGATACAAGACTCGCATCCTGTGGCAGATCCTCTCTCAACCCCTGGAGCTCAAAGCACCAGCTTCTCCCCTCCTTCTATCACTGCAGAAGACAAGACCGGAAAGACACGCTGGAAAGTGCTTGCAGCAAAGCCTACAGAAATCGGGAAGATCTGGGAAGCCAAAAACCAAAAGTGAAACAAACTAAGCTGACAAAATAAACCCAAAGTTGGTGTTTCCTTACAAAAGGGCCTTGATTCAGAATGTACCTTCAGATGACGTACCCGTGCTTTAAAAATCACTGACAGCATGGCAACCCCCAATACACCAAATCTGAGAATGAAAAAGGAAAAATGTACCTATTCCTTCTCTAAAAGTGTGCATGGGGCGGGGAGGAGGGGAGATGGGGCATAAAAAGAAAAAAATCAAGTGGCTATTTTTCTTGTAGCTCCACTTGAACTTTTAGCTCAAACTGCACCCTGGCCCTCAGTCACCAGGTCACAGATAGTTTCATTGTTTGAGGGGGGGAAAAAAAAAAAGCCACAAGGAATTGTTTTTAAATCCATGCACAGGAGTCCATATTGCTACCCCTAATTTAGGGAAAAAAAAGAGAAAGAGATTTATTTACTAGTTACTACTAGACCAAGAATTTACTTGAAAATAGTTGCACAGCTCTCAGCCAGCATGTACCTCTCCCACTCTGCCAACTTCTGGGTCAACAAAGGTTGTAATAAGAATAACATACACTGCCTTTCGAAAGCAGCGCTTGACACGGACATGCGTGTTCATGGCCTCTTCCTTCTGTTCTGCACAATCAACCATTTAGCAGGTCAAACTGCCCATCACATACAGCCCACCACAATGGAACCTTCCCTATTCCTCTGAAAGCCTATTATTTCCCATGAGCTTAATTTTTTTATGGTGCTTTTTCTCCTACTATCTCAAGCAAAAGTCAGTAACATGCTACAGTTTTCCCCCTCTTTGTTACTATTGGGTTACAAACTAGGGAACGTACAACCCAGGGAACGTACAACCCAGTGGAGACTTAGGTTAAGCAGGGTAGCATAAGTACGAAAGCACTAGCACAGAACAACTGCAACTAGTATGCTAAACCCTTAGTTTCTCTCACTAAATTCAGAGGCAATGTATTTGAGGGATAAGAAGAAAAAAAAAACGTTACAGAATAAGGCAGAAGAAGAAAACACACTGAATATCCTTCATTCATTGTTCTGAAACAAACTTTGAAGTAGGTTTGATTGTTACATTAGGAAAAAAGTCTTTCAAAGTAGTGACACTGATGTTGCAATTTAATATGAATTGATATGTCCTTATCAGAACGAGCATAACAAGCAGGAAGAGGAAATCTAAACAAGTTGATATTCTTCTCCTTTCATTATACAGGTGTTTCTCCTTTAGATCATGTTTTTTCCTTATGGTGAAGAGCAGAAGTATTGTTTCCCATAAAGTGGTATTTATAGCAATGAGAATAGGAGTGATCCTGCAAACTAACCTTTTGCTAACTTCACTAAAAATTACACCTAACAAAGCTCACAATGTAATATCCCTGTCCATTCCAGAAATCACTCACAGTTCTCTTCCATTAACCCACCAAACTGTCCAAACTCACACCTATCATCTCAAGTTTTATGCCAAAAATTGCGAGACCTTACTGACTTAACTGTTTAGACAGGCTAAAGAAGTGCCATCATAAGCAACCGTTCTGAAATGTGGAAACATATCCACCAAGAATGTCATGAACCATTACTGGCCCATGAATAACACTTTCCACTTGAGCCTGTGGTCACTTACTTCCAGATTCATTACACACAGAACAAATACTTAACTCCTGAAACTCTCCTCCACCGTCCTGCAAATTTCTACATGTCAGCCCAAAGGAGAATATCCTTTCCCAAAGGCTGCAACTATCCAAGATTTACAAAAACCCACCAACCAAACAAAAAAAATAGTCAAACAAGCCCACTCCCAGCCACCATGCTAACCATTCTTCCAGGATTAGGTATGAGTCACGGATAAAATAAATGTTACCAACAAAGCGTGCCTGGCTCCACACACCTCTCACTGTCAGAGCAGACTAATCAATCAGATTTGCTGTTTTGGTTAGTCGGATGTTTGTACTAGGGGACAAGAATTTTCTGTATATTCACAAGTTTCCTTGACTGGGCAACTCTCTTTGAGTGCAACGTATTTCCCTATTCCCCACGCTGCCCCTAGTCAGTGCAACCTCACACCCATGGCTGGAAGAAAATAGTAAAAAGCAAGTAGAAATTAGGCCTGTCCTATTGATGCTGATCTTCAATGACTAACATTACCCACTTAGAAGCAAGGTGGTATTTTCATGTTTGCACCTCTTTACCAGACCATTAAGCTATTCCCACTGCATTAGCTCACCAAAACCACTGCCATGAATAAAGAGTGGTACTGCCTAGCTCTCTTCAGAATGTGGAACTGAAAAACTTGGGAAGAGATTAGCATATGTGGTCAGATCGTAGTCAAGAAGACTCCAGTCAGGAAGCTGACTGAAACTGAAGGTCTTTCTTACCTCACTCTCGTGGAAAAATCAGGCAGACCTTGTTTAGGGATCTGCCTATAGCTGCTTCTTCATGGAGACTTTCCTTATTCATTCTTAAATTGCATAAAATGTATTCATTCCTAAAATTGCAAAACAGCCCTTGTAGATATCAGTCACAGAAAACACGGTCTCTCAGGTTACATCTATACTGTGTTCAGCAGTCACATCAGAGAGGTCCTGCAAGGTGTGCAGAACAGCTAACAGGCATTCTGTTCCAACCTCACAGCCCTTTTCACCTCTCACATCCTTTTCATGAGGAGCTGACATTCATACTACATTTTATGGAAGCACACTGGTGCAAGAGCTCTCCTTGTACCTAGATAGGCTCTTCCCATATATGCGCTTCTCTCCACAAGTCTGGAAGGCTGTATGGTCTGCTAGGCATGCTTAGGTGACCAAAGCAGATCTGATACAGATCTGCCCTAGAGTATAGACCACAGCACAGCATGGATTATTGCTGAGCAGGAATAATCTAGTTGGCATCTAGGGTTCCCCACCAAGTGACTTTGCTGGTTTGCTCCAGAGCAATCCACGGTGTGAATTACGTTTGCAGGAGGAACAACAAAAGACTGACCGCCTAGTGAAAAGCAAAAGCCTGACAGGCTACCCACACCTATAAACTTGTAGGGTCTAAACTATGTTATCAGTGTTCTGAACGGGCATCCTGCTTTTTTCTGCTGCCCTCTTAACCATGACTTTCCCTGTATTTTTGCTTCTTCCTTTATTCTGGCCAGGATTTCCATACCTTTGCTTACACGGCGTTGCCATCAACAGCCTCTCCTCACCCTCAACCTTTGAGGGCAGCAGGGCCATACTGTGGTCAACAAGCAGTCAGGAAAGGCCACGCTCTGTTTCACTGCCCTGAGTGAAACACCAACAGTGCCAGCATCTTTGGATGCCAGCCAGGGGAGCAGTTCCCTGGGATACAGTTTAAAAAGCTGGGGTCTGTCCTACCTAACACTGCTGAGCTGACCCCAAGCTACCACGCTGTGTCACAGGCGATGAGCCGGGCTGTGACTAAAGGAAACTGGCAGGATAGCAGATGAACATGGCCCAGGGACACTGTCTATAGAGATAAACGCAATCAAAAGTGGCAGCAGTTGGCATTTATATAAGGGCAGATGCTATTCTTACCCATCTTGTTTGGTTCCTCACACCCCAAATAGCCCACTGTGAGACTACTGGAGGAGTAAGGTGTCACTGAACAACAGCCACAGCATGTGGTTTACAGGACTTCCAGAATCCAAGTCCAACCAAGCATAAACAGAGGCAAGGTCATTGCATAATGTTTACTGAAATGGAGCTGTGCATCCATTTGCTGCATCCAGATTTGTCTCCTTATATTCCATCTGCTTTACAAATACAATTGTATTTTCTCTTCCAGTTTTCTCTTCCTAGAGGGCTACTCTAAAGTATTCTGGATTTAGCTTGGCATAAGCAAAATCAAGCACACTGAATTCAAAGACTTCTCCCAAACAACTGCAAAGGCAAACTTATTTTTCAGAGTTGTTCTGGACTTCCACTCTACATTACCGTAAAAAACATCATGCATTTTCTGTTAAAAATCTCATGGTACTCAATCAAAAGAACTCATTACTTCAAACAGTTCAAATCAGGCCCCAAGCAGCATGAATAAGAGAAGATGAAATGCACTGAAGGAATCAAATAGCCATTTAGGTAAGAACTTGAATTAGCAAAATAGAAAGCACTCAAGGGAAGGGACGATAAATATGTAGGTAGCAAAAGATCTAAGTTGGACTCCCGTCTGTGTTTCAGTGTGTCTTGGATAAAAACAAAGAAAAGAAACACAAGGGAGTCCTAGAAATAAAATATACACTCAGTGGAGATTTGATAGAAACTTTAAAGACCGCTTACTGGGTTTTTTAATGTTTTGCATTCATGTCAACATGGCATATTTTACCCTAGTACCAGATTGCAGATACGGACCCCAGAAAATCATGCATGAATAGTCTTTGCCTTAACTTTTGTAGGGAGTGGGTTCCAGACACTTGCTGCCTGCATTTTCTCTTGTTAAACAGCAATAACAAGAGGGAATGTGTACCGTATTTAAATACAGAATGTTCAGGTTTATAAGGCTTAGCCGTATCTGTGGCAGCAAAATTATTCAGTGCTCAAGTTACGCTGTGTCCCCCCGCTAACTCTTTACTAAAATTGGTGCACCATGGCAGACAAGCAAAAATCTAAATCCCTGCATTAAGGTGTCATAAATCACAGTACGGCTTACTCAGATTACACTAGGATTCATACAGGCTTTTAAAAATTTGCATAGTCAGGATGAACAAGCTAACTGTTCCTAAGTTAATCACCACGGCATCTCTTTGAGGCAGTGTTTCTTCTTTTGGCCTGCATCTGGTCAGCTTCTTAAAAGCAGAAAATATATTCTTGTGTTCAACACTTAATACTGACAAAAGTAAAAGCAAAACCAAAGACTCAAAGCCTTTTCACCCTGAGCACCTAAGGGCTTCCTAAGAAATTAGGGTGACAAAGTAAAAGCACAAAGATCACAGTCCCTTAAAATAAGAAGACTCAATACAGGTGGAACTCAAAAGAAAGTAAACTCACAACAAGTATCCTGATTTTGTCTTTTCAATTTTGATAGTGTTTCCTCAAATAGTCAAGTGCAGATGAGGCTGAAATCAACTTGGGCAGAGCAGTACAAAGCACATGTATTTTTACTCAGGTACCTAGCTTTATTATGTTCATGATAAAAATTCTCCAAAAGTACTCTTGACCTACAATATGAAATACTGCATTTATAGCAGTTTAATAGGCAAGATTATTCTCTTTTTACTTAGAAAAAGACTGTTGAACTACTACTTCTCATAAAGGTCCAGATTGATAAATAATACATAAATTAATTTGAAGTTTGGCCCCAACGATTAATTGATTAATTCCATCTCCAGTTATTTATTTTTTTACATAGTTCTGCTCTACCGTTTTCAAAAGAAGTATCGGTTAGCATGGCATTTAGCTGTAGAAATGGAAGAAAGCATAGATGGGCTGCAATAACCAGATTCCATGGGTAGCAGGAGCGTGAAGAAGTTTAAGGAGTCTATGACCATCTTACACAGCACTTCTGAATTTAGACCAACATATCTAATTATACTCCTATTTTAGCACCTACTCTCTAATGCAAGGCTATTTTCTTTGATGGGCAGAGCTTAGCACGTGGGCTTGT